CAGCTTGTCTCGGTAACGGAGTTCCGTGTCTCCAAGTAGCAAAATACCCTTTTGCACGCAGCCTCGATACTAAGGGGCCAGTAGCCATTGTTCCCTCCACGAGGGGCCTCTACAGGCAGCCGTCGTATCTTGCGCTTTGCCCCTGGCCAGGCATGACCTTACGGATGGCAGACCCTAGCCCGTGGTTGTCCTTTCGTGCTCGTGTGTTTGTCTTTCAAGGTCGCCCTCTTTGCCCGCTCTGCATGCATCGGTGGCCTGTCCGATTTCTTTGTTCTAGTGCCCTCAGGACAGCCCGGGTTATGACTCGCGTGTCGGACCTTCCTAAGAGGAGAGCGCAGTCCAAGTCAGGCAAGATGTGTAACGTTTGTATCAAATCTCCGAGCAACTGCCCATAACTGAGGGAAAAGAGGTTAAAGTTATTTAGGCGGATCTCATATAGTAGCGCACCTTAACCTCATACTAATTTTTTGGCCAACGGCTGTAGCCTTTCGAGTACGTTATAGTCCTGCCGAATCCACGGTCTACAGGCTAGAATCGCGTATTTAAAATGTGGCCTAAAGAAGGTACCGAAAAAGTTGCAGGAGCAGGCTTCATAAAAACTACGAATGCCCGCTTGATGACGTACAACATTGAGGTTGCAGCTTTAACCGCCTCACAACAGATTCGAGGTTGTCTGTCCTCCAGATGTCCAGATCTTTTTGTATTTTTGCTTCTTGGAGTTGGATTCCGTTCAGATTGTAGGACCGCGCATCAGAGACCGCATGTCAATTTTTCAAACTCAGCAGAGTGCATTCGTGCGAATTGAAGGACAGGAGCCATCTGTATGAACAATCTTTTTATCGACAAAAATCTTCCTTGAAGTCATTTTCATCGGCAGCACTCTTGATGGCCTTCCATATTTTTATATCATCTGCAAACATTGCACACTCACCATCCAAGTGCTGTATACAATCATTAACGAACAAGAGGAAGAGGGCCGCTCCGAGCACTAAACACCGAGGGACTCCGCTCTCGATGACTTTCGGCCTTGATCGTCGTCTTCCTACACATTTAGGATCAGGCTGCCAAGCACGCTGATTTGCCTATGATCAAAATGGTCGGAAAAAGGGAGCAAATTTTACGTGAGACCGCACACCTTCAATCTACAGTAGAAGACGCCAGAACTAATCAGAGAGGAATAGGCAGATCAAAGTTCGTGTATCGAGCACAGATATAATACCAGGCAGGCGTCAAGGCTGAAGCAGTTAGGGCCAGTAGGAAGTACAATCACCTTTCTCCGATGATGGAACCGAGTGCGCTTCTGAAACGTCGCTCCAAATTACCTTCGTCCCTTCTTCTTCTTCTTCTTCTTTGGGTGATGATTAAAACGGTAGGATAGGGAGATCTCGAAACTTCACGCAAATGTAAATATGTCAGCAGGCTGAATGTACTGCAGGGAAAAATTAACAAGTATTTCAAAATGTCCATACGCATTTTCAGCGTCTTGTAGAGTAGTTGCATTTGTGGAAGTTGTCGTTCGCCTTGTGCTATTTAGATTGCCTTGTGTGTATCAAAGAATCTGATGAAAGATTTGACTCTAGGCAAAAAGGCGCGTTGAAATATCAACTATGAAGACAAAAAGTCATGACAACAATAACACCTTAGGTCACTTTAAGTGGGATCACAATATGCATCTTTAGTTGGTGTGGGCTAATTCGTCTACTGAGAGATATGCTACTTAATTCGTCAACAGCTTACATAGTACTCTGAAGCATGATAATGTCTTCCTGATCAGACATAAAATACATGCGGGCTGTGGTGACTTCCGTTTGATCAATCAAACCTCTCCGCAATTTGGCGTTCCTCCTGCAGATCTGGTGTTTAGCGCTTTTCAAGCATTATGATTATATACTACTTCTATTGATCCCTTTTTCGACCGCGAACTGATAAAAGTGGATATCAAATGGCTGAATGATGAAAAATATGATGCAGCTGGCCTTGAATATTACATGCTTCTGAATAACTTGATCTAGCAACTTTTCACATCAACTGACTTTTGGATTTCTCGTAATAGCGCAAGCAAAACTGAGGTCCACTGACCGCCAAAAAAGTGGTTCTCCAATAAACTTCCAGGATGTGTCGTCATCTTTAAAGCCCCGGATGAATATGTCGCTGTTGCATGATTTAAGTAAGCCATGAGCTGTTGTCTTTTGTGGTTGCAGAGGAATAATAGAGCTACATCATTTGCTTATCCAAATAATAGCAAATTCTAACAACTTAGGATCCTGTACGACAATATATAGATGACCTTTTTTTATATAATAATACCTTTGTATTTGTCCTTAGGTGTATAAATGAATTTTGTAATCGAACCTATTTGTTGTGACTGTTCGCCTAAAATCAGACCCTGGTTTGTTTCGCGGACCCCTGTTTACTGCTCCAGTTCAAAGCCAGTTGACACACCCACCGATGATAGACCAATTACTCAACTGTAACGCTGACACGATTCAGGGCGTGTTTTGAGCTCCTCTGGCAGCCACCATAAGAAGATTTAGGTAATTTCGAAACGTCTTTCTCCATTCTCTAGATAATTTGAAGAAATAGAAATCCTCTAGCTCACGCGAGAATTAAAAACAGCGTATTAGTAAGGCCTGAAATTTCCATGCATAAACACACCAGCCAAAATTCGTCCATATGCGGATTTTAAAAGGTTGATCTAAGCTGCCACATGTCACTGCACCCAAAAAGAAGATTTTCTGGTCGGGCCTAGGTCGGTCGAAAGCCAGTAGAAAACGAACTTTCTGAGGAGTCTTCATGCACACACCATCTCATCCACCCGCCGGAGCAGAGAACTTCGTACCAAAAGGGATTTGCTCAAAAGAGACGTTGGCGACCACATTCAAAGCGCTGGCCAAGCCGCGTCTCACCTATGCGGCACTAGTCTGGTCTCCCACAGTCAGCTCCTCCAGCTTCCGCCGCCTTCAGTCAGCACAGAACGGTGCCCTTCGCAAGAGCACGGGCTGCCTATCAATCACCTTGACGCAGAGGCTTCTGTCCTGTTTGTCGCCCCTCACAACAAACTCTTAGGCCAGCAGTTTTGGTGGACCTGTTCAC